TGCTGGATCAGCCTAAAACCACGACAGCAATTAAGAAATGTCTACATGCACATTCTCTTACTTTAACTTTTTTTTTTTCCTTTGCAAAACTGATGAGATTCACAATAGGGACCACTGACTCCCTTCCCTTCAGTTGTGGGCTGGACTACAGAAAAACACATGTGTACTCACTGGTATTTCCATAGAGATCTTAAACGCCCATTCTAAGGGCATCTTAAATGTTTCAGTGACTTCAGATATATACACTGGGAACAGCCCCATTTCTGGGCATTTCATCAATCTAGCTGTCTTATCGGATAAACAAATTACTTAGATTTTACACTAAAAGGTGCCTGGAAAATGACAGCTTTTTTTTTTTTTTTTAAGACAGCATTACTCAAATTCCCTGCAGTGTGAATAAAGTTTACACCTTTTCACAGATGGTGATTTTTAATATGAATATGCTTAAGAAAGATACCTTTAAGTAAAATCTTAAATTCTATTAAGGTTTTAAATTACCAGTAAAGTACAAACACAGCAATTATGCACTGAAAGGAGTGAAATCTAGATGACATTAAAAAGTGAGCTAAACAAGTTAAATTAAAAGTCAAACATTCAGTCTACCATTTGTATTCATCCTGCTAATGGTAATACAGGCATTCTGCAAAAAAAACATGATGGTAATTTTTGTTCTGTAACAGAAATACCAATTTCAACAACATCAAATACATAGTGCACACAATATACATCCACTTTCTTTAAAAATAAAAGGCTCAGGCAATCTTCTGTCCATAGTTTTCTTGTATCATGCTGGTGGGGGTTCGTGCCTCTGTGATCTGAGGCACTGGACAGCAAGAATATTGAAGAGAGTATCACTGTTATGAGATTGCTTAAGGACTCCAATATAGAATCACCATAGTGTTTCTACACAAAGTCAGTTTTAGTCTTCCAGGTCCTAGTTTTAATTCCATTCAGGCTCTTCCTGAGCCAAGTTTGCACTCAAGCTTGGGCACTAACAACGTTGGAATTGTACAGCCCTAGTTCCAACTACAAAGCGGGTCTCAGGCAGGTTTGTAGAGTTTGTGTTGCCCTGACTTCAAAGTTCCCAGTGCAAAAGCAATGAAGTTGAGCTCAGTTTTGTGCACAGATGTGCTGATTTTATACCAACAATAATATCAGCATACTGTCAGCTATAAGGAAATAGTGGGGATAATTGCCCAAGAAAAAATCTGTTCAAGTGTTTACACACAAAACTACTACTAAAATTGAGCTACCTCATGAGCAAAGACTAGCAGTGAGTGAACAATTTTTTTCTGACATAAATTTATAATCTGAGTTTGTCATTTCCTCTTATATATATGTATATATATATATGCAATATAACAACTTCAAAGACTTTGAAAGTATTTGCTCTTATTATCAAAACATGATTGAGGAGCATGGTATTTTGCAGAAAATATTTTTCTGGAAAAATAGACTAGAAGGATCAAGTAAGTGTTAATTTGCAATTGTTTTAAAAAGAAACAGCTAAAATAACTTTAGGTGTTCCAGACCCATTTAATAGAGAGCTCATGAAAATAACCCTGAAGCAACGTAAGAAATGTCTGCATAATTTGGATACGATTCTATTTGTTTTCATACTGTTCTTCAGCTAAATGACAATGAGGCATTACTACGGAAGTAAGTCACTAACCTCAGCAGTTATGATTTCATTTTTGTTCCAAGAAAACAAAAATAAATTTTTGGATGTGCACAGCAGCACGAACATCCTTGCAAACTGATCATTCCACAGTATCATGGTATCGGTTTGAAGTTAGGAAAAAAACACAACCAAAACAAAACAGCTTGTCAGACAGAAGTATCAGTAACAATCAGTCTACACGTTAGAAAAATATAATAACAACACGAAAACAAAACAATCTTATTTCCGTCTATGCATGCTGAAGTGAACTTTTCGTAACAGGTTTAGGAACCTGTCTTAAATTTACTATAAGCGGACAAAGGACTTGCTCCTTTAAGGAAGGAACAAGAGTCATTCCTCAAGCAAGATGACAGCTAAGAAATTGCAGCAAATTGTTTATAAGGCATATCGCTGGGAATCTGGAACTCTGACTGACCTGAGTAATTTTCACTCTTTAAACATTAAGTAAAACAAGTAGAGGATGTAAAATCACCACAAACACATTACAGCACAGTCAGAATTCAGTTGCAATTTTGTTAAATTAGAAAACCACACCAAATTCCAACCCTGACTGCTGTTTATACAGAAGACACTCAAGTTAATTAGTTTAAGCTCTAGGTGAAGGACAATAAAGGGTAGATGAATTAGAGACTTTTTTCCCCCAATCAAAACTCAGAAATTATCACTGTTAGCATAAGATGCCAGCACATACACAGACCATTTCTACTAAAAACTTTGAAATACAACTAAGTTCTACCATAGTTCTTAGTAGATGCTGTAAGAGTTAACTTCTCCTATGAAGAAAATAAAGGGTAGAGGGAGAAAAGAAGCCTCTTCACTGCTTTTGGTATAATTTTCATTGTTGAATTTTAAAATATTTTGACATCCTTAGTATCTGTGATATGTTTCTTCTTTTGAACATAAGCTTCTTCCTATTTCACAAGTATACTTGCAAAATTGTTTTTAAAAATAAACACAGTATGCTATTGGGTAAGTTAATTCTCATCAATTCAGTCTCTAAGAAATATAGAACTTTTTTGTTTATATACTGTGGACAGTTGATTTAGTGTCAGTCTATAGCATTAGTCCACTAGTTACTGTGAACATTATGCATAACTTCAAAGCAGCAAAATTTGTGACAGTGTTTCCCTAACCATGTGACAGTATTTCCTTCTTACCATGAATACTTCCCAGCAGAATATCACCAGCTACTGAAGATAGAGATGATGATTCTGCATAGAGATACTTAGTTTTCAGGAGCCCATCTTCAGTTGATATGTTGATGGATGTCCCCTGTAGCTTCTCTATATTCACACTCTAAGAGAAATAAACTTAAATAAACATAATGGAAAACATGTCATCACAGTTTGAAAAGGCAGAGGGAAGTAATGCTAGTAAGAGGCAAAACACACGGAAAGCAGTTGCTGGTGCAGAATAAAGAGAATCAAGTTCTTAGTTAAAAGCTACACACGATAAAACAAAAAACCCTTTTCACCCAAGAGCTCTGACCAACAAGTTAATAATTCTTTACAACATTCCTCTGAATTATTACATCCATCATACAGGTGAAGAACCCAAATAATCACAAATAGATGAAAGGAAAGCTTGATTTATTTTTAAAAACCAAACCACTTCATTTTGAAAAGTAAAAGAAAAGAATTAGCTTTAAAATGAAGACTTAATGTTCACACAGCACTATGACAATTAAAGTATTGGCAATCAGTGTTCTGCCACCACATACTGAAACATCCACTGTCTGTTTCATACAACTATTTACATAGATTGCTAACTGGCTTACTTTGCAGACATATCTTTGGTGAAGGGTTGCAAAAAAAACCCCACCAAACCAACAGCTGCTCTTTCTCAGCATAGTTGTTCATATTACCTTGGTTATTCAGGCCTCTATTCTTGCACTTAAGCCTCAAGCTATACAAAGCCTTGAAAAATGAGGGATAAGATCTCCGTTTCTACTTCTTTTCAACAAAAATGGAGAGAAAGGATAAGATTTGAAAAGTAGCACTACAGATAAGATTTGTGGAATAAAAGGTGATAGATGAGATTATGTACAAGCAATTAGTCGTGGGACAAAACCTATGCCTACCTGAACAAAACAGAACAAATCACACACTTCTGCGACTACCATATGAATTTAATTCTATTCTTTCTCAGTTAAACTTGATTTATATTGAATCATGCAATAGTTTATACTTAACCCCCACTCAATTTCTTTTATCTTGCTTACGCAGACTCTAAGTGAATTGCACAAAATCCTTATTCATCACATGAAATGATATATGGCCTTCTAAAACAAACCACGTCTTGTGTCAATTCATCTTTAAATCCACTCTGTCATTTTAGCATTGTGATCTTGTGGAAAAAGTTAATACAAAAAAAAAAGTCTGTCAACCCTTCCAGTGTTATATAATATAAAGAATAAGCTATGGATGAAGTAAGAGGTATTCTGACAAACTAGATGTAGTGCTGCACAAACTCCATGCTCTGTTGTGTCCCAAGAGGTGAGCTAAAGAGGTTGGCTCAGTATGGACTATACGGCAGCCAAGTTATACTGTAACCTTAACAACACAGACATACTGAGCTTTACGCCATCTTTACGCTTTAAGCCATAAGATGACAGAATGGACTTGCCTGAAGACTTTTGACATGATGCTACAATACATAGTAGGTCTCCAAGAATGTAACAAGTTACATTAACCTTTAAGAAAATCTGGTGATCAAAGTGCTGTGCTAGATTTAGAGATATTTGACAGTCAATACCTACAATCTCTGCAGGTGATGCTGCTTAGAACCATGCTACAGAATCTAAGCATCAAAAGTAAACAAAACCAATGATATCAAGTAGTTTGTCACTACTCAAAGTGACAGCAACTCAGCTTTTCAATCTTTTGATGCTTCTTACAAAACTCTGACAAGCAAAGATCTCAACAAACATAAGTTTACATTGCATCTGTCCTAGGAATGCTTCTCACAGAGTACTCTACTACTCCCTTACCCCAGATAGCAAAGCATAAACCGCTGTCATTTTAGGCTCTATGATCTAAACCTGTTCTGAAGAGAGCTAAATGACTTGCAAAGAACCTTTCCAATTTTAGCAAGGCCATCATTGCTATCACCATAATTAAGACAGAGCAAACTACACTTTAAGGGGAGGCAGGAATAAAATAAAAATATCTGCATAGTTTGCACAAACTGGCTGCCTTGTGGCGTTCCTGAATAGGAAACGGAAAGCCCAAAAAGCTACATCTGTTACTACAAGTATGCAAGTTTTGACTCTGTTTATTTATCTTATTTAAATGTTATGAAGTGCTCTATTATAAACAAGCTCACACACCAACTCATCTTATTTACCAGCCTCAACTACCTTTCTTAAAAATGCACAGCAATAAAAAGAGTTGTCTCAGTACATGATAAAAAGAAGTACTGAGTCAGCTGGTTACTATAAAAGAATAAACCCAAAACTACCATTACAAGGGACATTTGTTTCAGAATAACCCAAATCAGGACAGGGAGTCAGACTGCTCAAGTACAAGACTAAAAAAGTATTCTAGATAGGGAAAGTATGAAAAAGTGGGATTGCTTTTTACTGAGACTAAATATGTTTTCAATCCCAAATTCTTTAACTTTTGTGAATTTTTGGCAGAACATAGATGTTTGGCTCTGCTAAGTAAGTGTTATAGAAAAGTCCCTGTGGCACAGATTAGCTAATGACTCCCCAGTCAAACAAGTTTCATTATTTTTGTCCATTGAACCACCAGGTTTTCTGGAAAAATTCCTTTCCTGAGAGTAGAGCCTTGGGAGTTACAATTACTGAGACTGACCACATGTTCAAGTTCCATCAGTTTCTTACCTTCTAAAAAAAAAAGTGTCAGTCTATCTTCATAAATCAGACTGAGAATGTTTTTGCACCTGAACACATTTCCAGGATGAATACTAACATCTTGCTATGTTTAAATATGACATAAACAACTCTTT